ATGTCAAGTTTTAACCCATTAATCTGGTGATGGAGCCAGCTGTCAGTCCTGTATGTGAGTGGCAGTCAGAAAGAAGAGTGGGCCCCAGGAAACGCAATCAGGTCCATCTCTGTGTTCTCTGCCCCAGAGCTCCTGTCACCCTGGGGCCACTCCCCGCACATGCTAAGTCTCGGTCATGTCTGGTCCTTTATGACCCCGTGGACTGTAGTCGGCCAGGCTGCTCTGTCCGTGGGACTCTCCAGGCAAGAATCCTCAAGTGGTTGCTGTGCCCTTCTCCAGGGGATCTTCCCGACCCAGGGATCGAACTCTGATCTCTTACATCTCCTGCTTGGCGGGCGGTCTTTTACCGCTAGCGCCACCTGGGAAGCCACTCCCAGCACAGGCGCCCACAAAGCGTGGCTCGGGGAGAGCGATGAGTGGTGGCCACTCTCCAGCTCCTCAACGCTATCGCAGACGTGGAAAAACATGCTTTCCTTTTTGCTATCTAACGGTGAGACTTCACTTCCCAGGAGGAAGTTTTGTGGGACGTTGACCGGATAGTCTGGTTTTTCTAAATGCTGTGAGGCTGAGGTATTTTTGAAAGTGGGTTGTTTCCCACATATTCAAAAATGTCAAAAGGATTCAGTTGAGGCTGATCTTTCTGGGTGATTCTGTGTGTGTGTTCTTTACCAAGTTTCCAACCAGGAAACTCATTTTCATTTCTAGCTAAGAATGAAAAGCAAAAAGGGCAGAGAGCACCATGTAAGATCCAGCACCCTCTTCCAGTGGAGGTGGAGAATTAACCTCACAGTCTGAGAACAAATTAGAAATCAAGAAGTAATGACTCACTTTGTGACAGCTAATGGTCTAAAGAGGTTTTTTCCCTTCTACACAGCATCCCCAGAAATGAGCTGGAGGTTGCTAACAGTTCATGTAAATTCTCACTTTTCCTCCACTCTCTGGGTCATTCATTGCTGGCATCATTTTCTTTCATCTTTCCATTCTCTGTACCAATAAGTCATCAGATAGACATTTGCAGCCCAGATGTGAGGATTGAATGTCAAGCATCTGACAAAAGAGATCCTGGACCCTGCCCCATCAAGCTCACCTGGCCCCACCTGCTCTTCAGGTGCTCTTCTGCCTAGAGGCATCCTCTTTCTGAGCGACGTTATTAGGACTGACCCAGGAGGAGGGCTCTCACAGATACTAAGCCCATAGGCTCCTTGGCTTCCTGCCTCCAGGACTATGAGGAGTAAATGTCTGCTGTTTATAAGCCACCCGATCTTGGGCACCTTGTTACAGCAACCTGCACAGACTGACTAAGGGGAAAAGTGACTCCTCATGGTTGGTGTTAGTCCATGCAGAAAATGATTGAATCTACTATTGGTGGAAGAGAACAGATGGCACATTTAAGCAGTGATACAACGGTGTATTTGAAGGAAATTAAACCTTTTCTAGATGCAGTTTTCTGAGATACAGTGTTTCTTTCTTTTTTGGGAGGTCCCAGTTCAGGAAGTATGTTCTCATCCCTCCTGCATGAAATTTACCTGAAAAGGTGGTAGGGAAACTTGTCAGTATAAGGAGTTGCCAGCTAACCTCTAACGGCAACTTTTAATCCCTGCTGGACCACTAGGCTAACTTTCTATCAGCATTCGTCAAGCCTCAGCCAGTCTGCTATTAAACTTTCAAATTTTGAAAAGGGATGTGATTTTTGCTACTTGGAAACTAAGAGTTAATAAACTTATGCACACATGGGGTTTTAAGATGTGCGAACATATCTTAGATGTGAAATGACCCACAACACTCAGATCATCAAGTTTCTGAGACCATGCTCGCCACCGTGGGAGGGGCACACGTGAGACTTACTGACAGCGTACGACTGTGATTCGGAGGCTCCTGGGTTCAAACCTGCCGGTGTCTTTGCTCTTTACACCACTTGGGAGAATTTGGAACATTTTCCCCAGTCTGATGAGTGTTTTCTGTGCTCTTTTCGGATTCTAACAGAAGAACCTTTCCAGTCTGTTTTGCTCTCCTTCCAACGTGGCAAATATCAATTTAGCTAATGAGGCACAGGTGTAATTGTAGGCATTCCTTCAAGAATTCTTCAGCTATGAATCTGCCTCAAATTATGCAGCACGGTTCCGTAATTGTAGTTCGTTGGGAAAATTCACGGCTCCAATGGCCCTCATGCTCACACTTCCACCTGTGCGTGTGGCGTGCGGACCTCGTGTTAGTACATTGTGATGCAGGAAATAAAAACAAGCCCAGTCATTGGCTGCAGGGCTCTCTGTGAGTGTATTCCTACATCGCTCTGTCCTATTACGTTGCATTCGGTCCCGTTTGTACGTTTGCAAAGAGCATTCGTTTCAGAAAAGATGGCACAACTGGTCCCTTTCTTCCCTCGCCATCCATCACTTTGGTGAGAGGCTGCCATCCTGCCTCCAGCCTTTGCACACATCACGGTTCTGGGGCTGAAGGTTGATAATTTGGTGTTGAGCGAATTCCAGGCTATCATTTTCAAGCAATGTCCTCATGAACCAAACACCTGAACTGCACCCTGCCCCTATAGCATATGGGGAAGAACACCAGATGAATCAGACGATCCAATTACCCACTGAGATCTGAACAGAACCAGAAAGTGGTGGGACTGAACCTGTGTTGTGAGTCTAGAAAACCTCGAGTTACCGCTGCTTAACATTTAACTTCCAACAACCTGGGGGCCAGGGTGAATAGAAGAGATGCTTAGGGGCGAGGAAGCCAAACATACACCTATGGGGAAATATAACAGTTGAGGTCAAGTGTTTTAATTCTTCTAAAGCACCACACAATCTCACAGTCCTCCTTGTCTGTGGTCAGTCTTATAAACAAAGAAGAAGGTGTGTTCTCTCAACCGGCAATGAAAACGCTGCATTACTCAATTGTTGTCTTATACTTCAATTTCCAAAAATTGAATTTGTGAAAGTTAAATTTGCATTAAGACACACTTGGAAGAAAAGTCAAATGTGAATCAATTTTAAATTACTGAGAGCTGGTCATCTCAAAAGTAATGTTGCGGTAAAGTTAGCACCAAGAACATAACATCTTTCGCTGTAGGATCAGGGCTTTCTTTTCAAACTAGCCCCTTTCTGTGAGTTCACTGCTTTGACCCCACTGCAGGGTGACTCCCTTGGCTCCTCCTCCACGGAAAAGGGTCACAAGAGGAGGAACGCCAACTAGCTTGAGAATCCGCGTGTCACGGCCACAGGTCAGGTCGGATCACAGAGAGATGACGGGAGTTAATCACACAGAGAGTCGGCCAAGTGCCCGTCAGTTCAAGCTGCCACTCTTCTCCGATTCCAATTTATTCAAGAAGTAAAATCACTCGCGCAGTCACTTCCTTAGCAGAGGCATATGGTTGGTGACTTCATGACAGCTCCAGGTCCTTCTATGAAGGTTGTTGTCGTATTTAGTGTTTGTTCAAAACTGCTGATGCGACCACCCATTACCTGCACTGTGGCAAACGCAGGTGCGTGAAATTTTAACTTCTTATCACTTCAGTGCAGTGATAACAATATGTTAACAATAAGTCCATAATGTAATTACACATGAAAGATAAGAAGTGCTTTTGAGAAAGTAAGTCTATATAAGTATTTCTGTAGAATCTGAAGTCAGTGGCTCAAGATTACTACCCATCTTGTCTTCTTTTCAGTGATCATTATTCCTTCCTGCAGGTCTCACATTTCCAGCTGGGATTACTTTATTTCTTTTGTACTCAAAGTGCAGTTCTGTAGTGACAAGTTTTTGTTTTTTTTTTTCCAGCTTTTCTTTATCTGAAACCATCTTTTCCTTCACCTTCACATCTGAAAGGCAGCCCTCGCAAGGTTGCTGGTGTTGGTAGCCCTGTCTGAAAGCAATAGGAAAACTGTGTATGTTCAGCGTTCAGGGGCTGGATGGTACAAATGAGAGAGGGGAGAAGCCTCAAAACGAGCCTTGGGAATGCTGAGATCCACTGCGAGCTGGAGACGCGGGACGTCACAGGGGCAGCTGAGCTAAGAAGGGAGAGACCAGGATAGGTGGAAGGTGAATGGACTGGCATCTTCAGGGACCACAGAGGAGAGGACACCGCATTTGTTCAAGTGTTGACCAGAGGCTGGACTGAGCGGCCACCCTGAAGTGGAGAGGGTAGAGATTCTGGAGATGAACAGGTGTAAATAACTGATATTAGTTCTAAGTGGTAACAGATCTGACTAACTGATGAGCAATCTAACAGAAGTCTCACTATGTCTTTCTGGAGCTCATCAAAAATTCCAGAGACATTGGCATTACCTATATGAAACTGTTTTCTGAAATAAATGGGCTGGATTTTTAAAACAATTTGCGATAACCATTAATATTTAATCATGAACACCCCAAGTAGCATAACCCTTGTCACCAATATCCATACTGTCACTCCTGTAAATAGTGACCTAGTGGAAATCAGAGTGAAATGACCAGCTGTAACTTACAAACCCAAAACCATACAAAATGGTGACCAGCTTTTTCTGATTTTTATTGAGCTGCTTTATTCTTGAATATTAAAAGGCACATAAATATGGAATATAATGTTAATAAGATTAAATATGAACTCAATTATTGGAAATGTAAACACTTTATATGGTGTCATAAATTTAAATTTTCTAATTATTTTAGTCTCCCAGAGATTTTTGAGGAGATGAGGTCAAAAAATCACATGTTCCCTCTCTTGAAGCCCCTCAGCACTTGGCAGGACCTTATAGCTAGGAAATTCTCAACAAACACGTTGTTAAAGGACCTGAACAAGATTCTGTTTCAATATAAATCTGAATTATCATGAAATCCACATTTCATGCTTCAATTAAGACCATTTTACTGTAATTACCAGATAGAGGCTCACAGTCATCACAGCAAAAATACTGGCCCTGACATAATTATTTTAAATAAATACCAGGTTTTAAAGGAAAAGACACATTCTGAGAAATTCACTGTTTGGCCCTAAAACCTTGTTGTACCTTGTTTCTTAGCAGTGCCCCTCCCCGCCGTCGGGGGCTGGCCGGGCCAGCTCCATCCAGCACGAGACGGGCCCGGGCGCCTGTGTCCAGCTGCCTGTGGTCATGTCTGTCACCAGCACTCCCCCTCTCCCCCGAGCTGTTTACACCTCCGCCAGAAATGAGAGCAGAAAAGGAAAGTTTTATCAGAAAATTCTGCTGCCAGCACGACCAACTTCGTCTGCCTGTTCAGCGAGATTTGTGGGCAACCAAAATGTCTCCATGGTCTTGGGATTAAAAACAAGAATAAAATGCGTGCCATGACTTGCCGGCTGGCGCATGGGGGAGGCGGGTGTGTGGCCCTGCCCATGTGTCTGTCTTCTCTGCCGGCCACTGGCTGAGCGTGTTATCTCAGGTCCTTGGTACCTATCCATCAGGGGACAGTGATCTTCTGAATGGAAGATCTCGTGGGGATGGCTCTGCGTTACTGTCTTCCTGGGACAGGGATGAAGTGAGGGGACACAGCCCGTGAGCGGTGCTCTGGGTGGCCAGCTCGTGAGCACCACACTGGGCTCTGTCCAGTTCTGTCCTTGCTGTCTCTCCCCTGGGACCTGAGCCAGAGCGCCTGCCCCAGATGTGGGGTGACAACTACAGGAGCATCGTCAGTGCCCAGGGAGGGCACTCAGGTACGATGGCCCGGGTGTGGGTACTGCAGTGGTCACACCATCCTGTCCCCCGTCAGCCCCGGGTCACAGAAGGTCATCCAGGGGACACATCCTGTCTAGTCACCCACATTTGTGCCCCATGAGGACAGGAGCCCCCTGGCCCTGGGTTTGCTCCCCAGTTGGGTCCCCACTGTCTCAGCTCTTCCTCCGACATGATGCCTCTCCTAGGGGCTGGGGCGCAGGTGTCACCTCGTTCCCACCGTGATGAAGATTGTGACGCGTGGGTGCTCTGGGGACAGGGCAGCCTGGTCAGCCATGTCAGTGCCTCTCAGATGGTATAACTGGAAGAGAAAAGCGACCCTATATAATAACTCAGAAAGTTTCAATCAAGGACCTGCACTTTAGTTTTTAAACCATTTGTACGAGGAATATGATAACCCTGCTTCTCTTTGCACTTTATCTCCATCCCTCACTTGGGCCAGGTCAGCCCCACTCCTGCCCATACCGCCCCCAGGTTTGCCTGGTAATAGTAACACCTCTAGAAAAGAATATAACTACTGACTCTACTATTTATTTTCCTTTAATGTGTCAATAAAAAGTAATTGCTTTTAGGGCTATAATTGGCTTAAAGCAAAACCTCACTTGCTGGATCCAAAACTCAAAGATTAAACCACAAAATAAAACAATTCAAGGTGATACCTTAAAATAAAGTTAGCAATGCCATTTCTTTTTTAAACATATCAAGAAATTTGCTTTGGAAATTATCCAGTGAAGAGTCCCAGAAAATTCTCAAACATATAAGATACCCAGAGTCTCTTTTGTTCTTACAAACATCTCGAAGCTCAAGGCTGTCAGGCCAGCACAGTGAAGGTTGTAACTATCACCAACCTGAATGCCCTCCAGCCAACAGGGCACATCCAGGGGTGAAGAGGTAGCTTCCACTTCCAATGGCTCCAAGTGGTTCCAAGCACACTCTGTTTTGCTGACTTTGAATTTCTAGCTATGTCCTGCGGGACTCTAAGGAACACCATCATGGGAGATAAGAGACAAGACTGTAGATGATTTTTTTCAATATTTAAGTTATTCACATTTTTTAAAATCCCCAATAAAATTTATTTATGGATTTATAATCTTCCTCACCACAACATAAACTATTCATGCTCAGTTAAATTAAAAAATGTTCAAATGACCAGATTCAAAGAATTGCTTAAATATTGGGGTTTTTTGTTTGGATTATTTTATTTATTTATATTTGGGGCCCTATATTTTTGTGATACCCTATTCTTTCACTGTTTTTCCTTATCCACAGAACCCAAAGTATGTATCATCTGTTTCTTGAAGCTTTTTTATTTGTTTTTTACACATATGGGTTTATTGTGCTCACAGTGATAAGCTCTTTCTAAAAACTGAAAACATTTTACTAATTACTGAAAGTGGGAAATAAATACAGTACCAAGAAAATGTCATTTAAAATATTACATCTATTTTCTATTTTTAAGCCTTTATCACTTCCAATTCAACCCCCCTAATCACAACTTGTGTATTAATTGTTGAGCCAGATTTACCAGAAACTGTCTTTTATATGAAATCATCCAAAAGATAATTCCAGAGAAGGCTTGTAAAACAGATGATCATGTTGCTTCCTGTCCTAACAGATGTACTGTGATGACATGTATATTGTTCATATTAAACACTCTTTCTGGCCCATGGAATTCTCCCTTATCCCCTAAATGCCTGCTTATGCTATATTTTTCTGGGTTAATGAAGTACAAGACACTTCTGCAAGCATAAGGCAATGTTTGCACTTATAAAGATAATACTTCAACAGACATGACTCAGTATTTGAGGAGAACACTAGAATTTCAAACCCTGAAGAAACATCTTTATGGTTGCTTCTTTGGAATTATTCATGTGTGGTTTAGAAAGGAAATTATACATAAATTGACGTTGAGAAAGAAAGTGTTAATAATACCATTGTCAATGGTGGTAGAATCCAGAATCATGGGTGTACATACATTGGGAGAAAATCAACGTGGGGAGCCAGAGAAATAAATACACATGGCACAGAGGGGACTGGGGTTTAACATCATTGGGTCCACATTTCTTAGAAGATGACAATAAAAGTTTTTGGAGCTTCAAACCTAGAAAATTGCCTTTGTGGTCGCATATGCAAAATTTTGCATATAATTTCAAAAGCTGCTGTGCTGTGCTCAGTCATATCCGACCCTTCGTGACCCCATGGACTGTAGCTCACCAGGGTTCTCTGTCCATGGAATTCTCCAGCCAAAAATACTGGAGTGGGTTGCCATTTCCTTCTCCAGGGGATCTTCCCAATGGATTGAACTCGTGTCTCCTGTATTGACAGGCAGATTCTTTATCACTGAGCCACCTGGGAAGCCCTTTACAGACTCTTCACAGACTCTCTGAAACTCATCCATTGATGCAAAAACCCCCTGGTTGGCACTCCAGATATAAAGCTGTCTTTATGTTAGGATTTAACAATTCTTTGTTCCATTTCACCGCCAGGGCACCACTCACCCTCAGCTGAGGGCTGAGCAGAGCATGTGGGAGGAGAATTTCCAAGACTGAGGAAGGCCCCGCAGGAGCAGGGGACAATGACTATAGCAAGCACAAGGCTGGAGGAGTTCACTGTCCCACCAGACAGGGCAGACAAACCCAGTGATAACGCAGAGTGAAACTGAGCGGTCTGAAGGGCATCACTCCAGTGACAGAGCCAGGTTAGCTGTCAACACAAACGGCTCCTGGTGTGGCCAGCTTCCTACCTCCATCCAGCTTTAGCGTGTATCTTACTGGAAGTCTGCATACCAGGCAGCTTCAATCTCGCACATTTGTTCTTTTCAAACATTGTTTTATCTATTTCAGGTATTGCATTTTCACCCTCAATACACTGTTATTGTCTGTAGAAATAATTTTATTTTTATTATTTTATTTTTTGGCCAAGCTACATGGCATGGGGGGGTCTTAGCTCCCTGACCAGGAATTGAACCCATGTCCCCTGAAATGGAAGCATGGAGTCTTAACCACTCAGTGGCCAAGGAAGTCCCTGTAGAGATCACTTTAAAACTGAAATCATTATTTGTGGTACTAGCCACCTCCAGTCTGGGTACCATCTAAAAATTTGATGAGCACATCTTTTGATTTCTGATAAAATTTGTGTATATCATTAATAAGTCAGGGCTGAGGATAGAGTTCAAAAGGACAAAATTAGAGCCTTCCTTCTAAGTTAGCCTAAAGCCATTGATTAATGCACTTTGGGTGGGTTTAATGAGCAGGGACCCGCCATTCAGAACAACCAAACAGGGACACAGTGAACAGAGTGCAGGAACATGAGCAGCCAGAAGAGACGTGAGTCTCTGACTGCATCCATCTCATCTCCATCTCTTCTTCCATCTCTCCAAATACAGACTTTGTTGAACAATAAAAAGGAAAAGGAAATGAAGCTCAATTCACATATTATTGAAAGCAAGAGAGCAGAGTAATTGAATTAAAGCAGGAGAATTAAAACACTTGCTTCACTTAAGACTTGTAAACTGCAGTTTCCTTCAGGTCTGTTTTTTATTTATGATGAATGTCACCCCATAGTTGCTTTGAAGTTTAAGAAGAACTTAGGAAAACACAAACGAAAATGCCTTTTGAAAATGAAATAATACAGAACATATTAGTGTTGATCTTCTTGAGCTTTTAATGAAATCATATTGCTGTAAACAGAATATTTTTATAGCAATTTTAAAAAGTTATTTCCTCCATGGAACCCATTCCCTTGGGGGTACGGCCAGCTGCACAATCTGTGCCTCTCACTCTCTTTGGAGCCTGTTTTCATCATGAGGATGCCTAGAAAACTGACTGGAAGCAGGATTCCTGGGGGTTCCAGGCCTGGGATGAAGATGAGGGGCCAGGAGTGGAGGGAAACCCCAGCTGTGGGCACTGAGGAAACCACACTAATCAACCCAGGCAGCTTGCTCCCAGCTCAGGATCCCAGTGGGTTTGAAAACCACCAACCTCAGGGAACAGCAGGTGTGTGTAGCCCCCAAAGTCTGTGTGTGTCCCCAGCTCCCCACCTCATCAAGCAACTTCCCACCTCCATGTCTTAAAACTGTGTCGTCGCTCAGTCGTGTCCTACTCTTTGTGACCCCATGGACTGTAGCCAACCAGGCTTCTCCATCCATGGGATTTTCCAGGCAAGAGTACTGGAGTGGGTTGCCATTTCCTTCTCCAGGGGATCTTCCCAACCCAGGGATCAAACCTGGGTCTCCTGCATTGCAGGCAGACGCTTTATCCTCTAAGCCACCAGGGAAGCCCATGTCTTGAAAAGTGCACAGCAAAAGTCAGAGTCCATGTGTTCTGTGAAAATGCAAAAACTGCAATTTTCAAAATCAAGAAGGACAGTAAAATAATGGAAATCCCACCACTCCCCCTCCCCCCCTCAAAAAAAGCAAAGAAAGTAAGGAAATCTCCTAGGACTGAAGACATCGCATGGGTACATAAGCCATTCAGGAAAATGAATTCTAAACGCTGCACAACAAAAAGCACATCACAAAGTATACGTCACCTGGGGTAGCAAGAGGGCCCTGGAGATGTCTGGAGAGGACAGACGAGGGGCAAGAACGAAACCAAATGTTTCTAAGGGAGCAGCAGAAA